GTAGATGGTAATGCGTGGCTGGGAGAAGATCTAAGGAACTGAAACACATCCACATCGCAGAGAGGAGAATCCTCCACCCATCAAATTCCATTTCGTGAAGGGAAGGGCTTACTTGATCTTCTTCTTTCGCCTCAGCTGCAATTTAGGTACATAGATGATAAATAAATAAATTAATTTGAAATTCATAGTATCAAGAAGTGGGGGGAGAAAAAAAAATCAATTGATGAATAATAAGCAAAACCAATGTACCTTTACTTGTTGGAGGTTAAATTCCCCAAAGTGAGCCAATACAAATGGATTGGAAGCTTAAATTTCAAGTAAGCATCAACAGAGCTTAAAATCCAAGAAACATCAACAACATCAACCCTGAGAGCACAAAAACAACACACACAAAAAAATATACCCACATTTCACCTAGTTTCACACATTTTTTCCCTTTCCCTTTCTAAATCCTTTTTCAAATCCCTCAACCAAACACAGCATAAAAAAACATGGGAATCGTAAGTGCAACAAACTAAAATTTTCAGTCCAATATACTAGGATTTTTCAAACAGAGAAGATAAAAAACCGTCTCTCTTCAAAGATGCTACAGCTGGATGTAAAGTCGACACTATTGCTAGTCTGAACTTCCCATGTTTTGTCTATGGAGATTGGGCCAAAGAGAAGTGATCTTTGAGCTTGTGTGCCTCCGTTATGTGGGAAAACGACATACTAGTTTTTTTGGAGTAATACTATAAACCCCCTTATCCAAGGACAGATGTAGGATTCTAATATTGGGGGGCGCGTATATATGCAATCAAAAAATTTGTAATGAATATGTGATATACAATACCAATTTTTACCCAAATATCACAAAAACATATAATTAGATGTTTCCATTCATCGTGTATAATTACAAAATATTATCAGAATACAATTGGATATGCTTTAGTAAATCCATATTAATTTTCAAAAAAACAACTATTTGCTTTACATATCTACTTAGGCATCTAAAGTTGTGCTCGACGTTCTTTCATAATATAAAAAGCATTTATGATGGAATTTACATCAAAATCTCGAGCAATGTCTTTCTCAACATATGTTAACAAGTAATTTGAAAGAAAATCATCCTCCATCCTGTTGTGCAATCTAGTCTTTACAATTTTCATGGCTGAAAATGCACGTTTTGTTGTCGCCGTAGAAACTAGTAAAGTTAGAACAAGACGAATTAATCTATCGACAAGAGGATAAATTGTTGACTTTTTTGTTGTTACCAACATTTGGCACAAGTTAGAAATTGTCAACAATTGCTAAAACTCAGGATGTTTAAGGATATCAATCTCGTAGTTTTGCAATTGAAATTTCAAATGTATTTTTTTTTGCTCCGTAAAGTCATTAGGATAAAATTGATTTGCAAGCTTGCATATATCTTCAATTTTGAACGAATTGTAATCATCCCTAGGATCTAAAGCAGAGCTAAAAATAAGCAACTCCATCACATCTTCTTTGAATCTGTTGTTTAATTCTTGCAATTGAGAATCACATATAATTATAAAAATATCAACCCAAAAATGATGCTCAATAGTAATGTGATCTCTTTAGTGACAAGCACGACCTCTACCAGATGTATAACGAGCACTCATATCAGGAATATCTATGTCATATTTTCCACAAAATAGTTGAGCAGTCTCCAACAAAGGAATCCATTCATCTTCTCTGTATTTTTAAACAAGTGCTTTTGTAGTTGACATTAAATGCATTGCATTCAATATATCTTGGGATTTACGTTGCAAAGCTTGGCAAGTACTATTTTTTTTTAAAATTTTTTTATTTAGTTATAACCAAACAATTAAAAATTTTGGGCCTAATCAAACAAAAAGGACTTTAACATATTAACAAATAAATTCTCAATTATTTTAACATTACTAAATTTAAAATAAAAAGTAATAATACTTAAAAATAAATTATTATTATTATTATTTTTAGTATTTATCAAAAAAATAATTAAAATTTTAAATTTTAAAGTAGAAAATTTAGGGGGTGGCGGTTCTTAAATTTTTTGCAAAAATCTTGGGGTGGCGAACTTATATAATTTTAAAATATTTGTAATTTTAAAACTATATGTAGAGAGTTTTTTCAAAACTTTGGAAGGGAGAGGCGGTCACCCTTGTCAGCCCTCCCTTGGTCCATCCCTACCCTTATCTATTCCAAATTTATTCAGAATTGTAATATTGTGATTTAAATTCATTTTACAAATTGACCTCATATTACACAAATTCAATCACAATCACACAATCTCATTCGAAGTAAATTCGGAATAGGTCCAGCACTCAACTTATTTCTCTCTTCGTGACAAAGCTTCTAGCCAATTGGATCTGTTCTTCGACACATGTTGCTATCCAGTTGAAAATGCCGGCCCAGTGTTGGAGGGAGACTGCTGGAGAAGATCCAAACCGGCACTGCTAGATAGATATGGACAGCACAAATCTGGACAGAGGATCCAGATATCCAAAGGGATAAGACACTACAACATATAAGACTTTTGGCGACCAATTATTTTAGTCCCTAAAACTATTATTTTAGTCTCTAAATGGTTTTTGTGACAAAATTAATTTTGTCACTAAAAAAGTCACTAAAAGTGCGTCTAGAAAAGTCTTTAGCGACCAATTTTTGAAAATGTCCCAAAAAATGACAATTAGTGACCAATTTTATATTGTCACAAAATATTTGATTTTACAAGACTAAACATTTGGTCACTAATACTTCGTCATAAAATGTCCCAATTTGGTCGCAAAAAACAAAATAATGACACTTTTAATGACTATGATATTTGGTCGCTAAAAGACATATAACTTTCTCTACAACACATTTTCGTCGCTAAAAATCAAAGTGAAATTTTGTAATCATTTAATCTCATAGCTAAAATGCACAAAATTAAATGTCATCCAATCATATTAAAAAAAAATTGACATCCACACATCAAACCCACTTTATTCCCAAACCATAATGAGTATATAGAAAGTAAATTTGACAAAAAT